TCATCATGCTCACCTAACTCAACAGTATAAGATATATATGTATATATATATATATATATATATATATATATATATATATATATATATATATATATATATATATATATATATATATATATATATATATATATATGTATATATATATATATATACATATATATAAATTTTTGTTCTCAGAAGCGTAAACGGAAATTTGGTAATTTGGCTACACACACAGCGATAACTATCGTATCTAGGTCCTATTGCAATTGAACTTATAATAATGTTGCCATTAATACCATCAGAGCTGACTGCTTCGTTAGATTTTAACATTTTAAAGGCAATTTCAAACTCTTCAAAAGATAGTTCAAAAGAGTTCAAGTAAGAGTTTAGAGGGAAACATAGATTATTCATTAAACTGTTTGCTATAGGATTTCATTTTGAAATGTTTTGTCCTACAGGCACAAAATATTTGTTAAATTCTTCCGTAATTTGTCTTTTATCATATAAAAACTTATTATTATGTTTAAGCGTGTTTGGCAATGAGTGAGATGTACAATTTTTGTTGCCAGTACTTTCTCTTATTATAAACCAAGTGCGTTTAAAATTTATATTATATTTGTCTAGTAAATTTATATAATATCTTTATATATATATATATATATATATATATATATATATATATATATATATATATATATATATATATATATATATATATATATATATATATATATATATATATATATATATATACAGAGCCGGCGCTAGAGTATTTGGCGTCCTAGGCAAAAAAAATTCAACATTTCTAAATCAAGTAACATTTCTAAAATTTTAAAATAAAATTCAACTTTAAATTTTCCTTTTTGATCTTGCAACGCTTCATCTTTTGTTTTAGAATCGAACTGTCGCTTTTTTCTCCTTCTCCCAACATGTTTTTCTTCAAAATTTGTTACTGTTTCCAATTCTTTTGCAATTTCAGCAGCATCAACAATAATTATTTGAAAGCCTTCATCATTTCTGATTTTTACAAGTTTGTTTTTCGTAATATTTAATTGTTGTGTAGCTACATTCAAATCAACTTTCTTATTTTGTAACATTTTATTAGAAATATTAACTTCAAAAAGAATGTCGTACCATGAAACAAGGGCAACCATGAACATGAATATGCAAATAGAATTTGCTAGCCTTTTAGCCTCATTTCGGGAAGAATTTCCTACTGATGTAGTTTATAATCTTGGATCCTCAAATATTTGCACTAAAGCATCGTAAATTTTTCCGAGATTGTATCGTAATGGTTTTAAAGCATTAATGCGGCTTTCCCATCTTGTATCATTTAATGACTTGACAGTAAAATCTGGAAAATAGCTACGAAAAACTTGCCAACAAGAAGGTGATCCCGAAAAATAACTATAAATCTGTTGCACCACACCAAAAAAACTTATTGCATCTAAGCTACATTTGCATGCATGATTCACAACTAAGTTTAGTGAATGTGCGCTGCATGGAATAAAAAACGCCCGAGGATTTATATTCAAAATTTTTCTTTGTACCCATTCTCCTAACCCTTCATGTTGCTTCCGTTATCGTATCCTTGTCCACGGAGATTTTTAATTGGTAAATTAAAATTTTCCAATTGTTCAATTAATGTTTTTGCCAAAAAACCACCTGTAGATTTCTCCACAGGTATGAATCCTAAGAAATGTTGTTTAATTTTAACTAAATCCCCATCATGCGATGTTGGTGATTCTAAATCAGCAAAACGAATTACTATTGTTATTTGTTCTGTATGGCTATTATCTGGGGTGCAGTCTAAAATTATAGAATAATATTTAGCAAATTTTACTCTAGTCAAGATTTTATCTTTTATAACATTTGCTAGTATTTGTATTAATTCGTTTTGAATTTCTTTTCCAAGATAACGAGCAGTTTTAATTTCTTGATTTTTAATTTTCGGCCCATGTTCATTCATTAATGGGTCAAATAAAGCGAGATACTCAACAAATTTAAAAAAATTACAATTGGCGTTATTGTAAAGCTTTTCATTTGTTCCACGAAATGCCAAGTTTTGTTCAGTACTCTGTACTCTGATTAAGGCAATTAATGTTTCAAAAATTCGTTGTCAATATTGTTCTTTTTCATTAATTTTTTGTTGGTTAATATGATCAATGGTTTTTTCTGTAGATAAACGTATATCAAGTTCTTTCCACATTTGAAAATTTACGAGATGTGAATTACTTTTTTCATGAGAAGAAAGAAGTGCTCCAATATTCTTCCAATCGTTTAAACCTGAACCTTCTAAAGCCGGCAAACTAATTTTGCTTTCACCAAATAAATTACAACATAAACAAAAAACTACATTTTTTGAAACTGAATATATAAGCCAAGAACGAGAGACTTCTTCTCCATTTGGTAATGTCTGCTTGTAATAGATTGATGAAAACTTTCTTTTTTGTTCATCTCGATCTCGTGGAAAGTTATATTTTTCAATTTGTTGCGGTCTTTTTTTTATAACAAATTGCCGAAAATTGTCACTAAAATGAGTAGGCTAATTTGCAGGGTCACTGTAGTCTGCAGATGATAATATGCTAATTTGAGTTTCAGTTTCAATTTGCCTTGAAATCTTAACAGCAGGAGTTTCTTCAGGTAGATAAATTTGGTTTTTATTGATATTTACAACTTCATTTTGTTGATTTGAAATATTAGCATTATTAACAGTTTTATCGTCAACTATCACATTAGATTTTTTACTCACACCGCTATCGCTTTCAGTAGCAGAATCAGTACCTGTAGAATGTGTTTCTGCACAAAAATATTTCAAAATAGCTTTTCTTGGACTTTCTTTATTTTTCTTTACTGATAGTCTCTTTTTCTCAGACATGGTTAAAAAAAGTAAGAAATGTGTAATTATAAAACATTTACTTAATACTTGCTAGCGTACAATAGTAGAATTGAAGTAATACACTACCTTTTCAATCAATAAGAATATTGTCAGTTAAATACTTATTATAAATAAAATAGAATAGTCTTAAGTTAGTCTTAACTTAACTCTTTCGCTACGGCCGTTTTAACAAAAATCTTTTCGCTGTGACCGCATGTTTTTTTGAATAAAATTTGGATGAAATAACATAAAAAACTAATTAAAATTCGAATAGTATATCTTTTTAAAAGCGTAACAATTTGTTAGCTTTGTTCAATTAATATATAGTTTGTTACAAACTATATATTAATTGAAAGATAAACAAATGAACTTTTTAATTAAATAAGTTTTTAACACGCATCATTGAACAGTAAGAAATGCAAGGTACTTAAACCATCGTTTTTTATAAATAGTAACATAAAAAAATAAAAATAAAATAAATAAAACATAAAGTCCGAAATAAAACTTATTTAATGTATAAAAAGAACGTTTTTCTTGGAAAAAAACCTTTGTAATTACTTAGCTAAATACTCACACGCTTCTACAAGTTAATTTTTACAGTGTTAACGCTGCTTTATTTTACTAATTACGAACTAAATTTAAAGAAATTTTTTTTATCAAGGATTACTTGAGATTTTTCAACTTTGTCAAGTGATAACTAATTATAGTTACACATTATGGCTCATACTTGTACTTGATTATGTAAAGAACTAATTAAACTTTAAGAAAAAGCAAATTATGTGTCTAGATTTATGCAAAAAACAGGATAAATTGTAAAGTATACTCGAAAGCCGCTACCAGCGGCTTGCGGTCTATTAAAAAAAAAAATCAAAAGCCGCTATCAGTGGCTTGGGGAGGGAAAGAGTTAAATTGACATTTATTCAAAGAATCAGAGACAGACTATCTAGTACTCGTTAACCAAACGCAAGCGAATGAATGTGAAATAACTGATTGAATATGCGGGCGATCGAATCAACATGAGGAACAGCAAACGGATAATATACAATTTTGTTTGTTGTGTTTATAATTTAAAAAGAAAATATTTACTTTATTTGGAAAACGCAACTCAAGTTGTTAATTATCTCTCATTTTATTAATATAAACACAGACGAGAGGCAAGAAGCAGCCCGAGCAGCCTGTATCGTTGGGCCAACGTTGTTTTGTGTTAGTTGGCGCAACTAAGTTGGATTTGCTGTTGGGCCAACGATGTTATGTGTTAACTGGCGCAACTACGTTATATTTGCTGTCGGGCCATCGTTGTTCTGCGTTTGTTGGCGCAACTACGTTAAATTTGCTGTCGGGCCAACGTTGTTTTGCGTTAGTTCGTTAATTTGCTGATGGACCAACGTTGTTTTGGGTTAGTTGACATCATATTGCATTATCTAGGAAAAATTTGTTCAGAGTATAAGTAAGATAAAATGGAGCATACCTTTTACGCCATACTTGGTGCGCAAGGAAATGCTACGTATTATCAAGGTACTTTAATGTTTCGCAAATGTCTATATATATATATATATATATATATATATATATATATATATATATATATATATATATATATATATATATATATATATATATATATATATATATATATATATATATATATATATATATATATATATATATATATATATATATATATATATATATATATATATATGTATATATATATATATATTAAAATGCAAAAAATACAACTTTTTTATGGGACTTAGAGGTAATAAGTATCGATCACTCTTAAACTGACAAAGAGCTGTATTAAATCCAACAGAAAACAACACAACTCAATAATAGCAATAATAATAATAATAATAATAATAATAATAATAATAATATATATATATATATATATATATACGTATATATATATATATATATATATATATATATATATATATATATATATATATATATATATATATATATATATATATATATATATATATATATATATATATATATATATATATATATATATATATATATATATATATATATATATATATATATATATATATATATATATATATATATATATATATATATATATATGTATATATATATATATATATATATATATAAACATATTTAACCTATTAACTGGCTGCAATATGAAGATGAAAAGTGCATTTGATTATGGCTGTTGTATACTTCTGACTTTAAAATCAATAAAGTGATAAAATCTGCTGAACCTCTCAAATCTATTTGGAAACTATTTTTTGTTAGAGTGCTGCATTCTTACAATAAGCTTATTTTACGTTTAATGGTTTTAAACTTAGCTTATTTGTTCATAAAAAATTCAGTTTTAATTTTTATTATCTTAAAAACACGTGTGAAATTGCTAATTCCAAGTTGGATATTGCAGAGGACTGCTCAGAACTTCCGACAGAATCAGATATTGATGCAAAAAAAAGGAAAGCGGAAAGGTTAATTTTTTTATTCTAACTTCAATTTATTTGATTATTTCAGTTAATTGTTAACATGATGTTTAAAATTATGCTATGTGTAACAATATTCTATGTTATGGTGTTCATTTTATCTATTGGTAATATAAAATTTATCTATTGTTAATATAAAAGTTTGTTTTTTCAATAGATGAAAAAAATACCAAAACATAATAACCCTATAACACAACAGTAGTCTCTGAAATAAAAAGGGTTAAAAACTAATTTAGGTCATTACCAGTTTTATGGAATGAATTGTGTAATTTAGATTCCGATTATACAAAATCTGAAAATGGAAAGAAGTTTTCCGTATCAATTTCAACCTCAAACCTGAAGTTTCCTACTCCTCCTCAGTTGCAATCCGGTTAGATTTTTGCATTTTAATAAATATTTTACAGATCGTTAATGATCCATCAACATTCTTAACATTAATGATTATAATTGGTCATTAATGACATTTAAAAAAATAAAATATGTTTTTATACTATGCTATATTTTGTTTTGAAAAATATTTGATATTACAAATATGTTTATAATGCATTATTTGTGCATAGAAATTCAAAATGGGCCTCTTCAAAATGCATCATCTACTATCTACTCTCTCTCTCGTCATTATTTTTAAACGATTTATCTTTTAGTAAATAAGGTTGGTTAACACTTTTTTTTTTAACTTGAAAGTTTTACAATTTTTAAAGTTTAAATTATGGTTTGCAAACTGTCTGGTTGTATATGTGTGGTTGAAAAAATAAGCTTAAATAATAAATAGACAACCAAACTACACTACCATCATCGATATTAGCGCCAGTGCTTACTATAGCACTGCAAGTAGAGCGGTTATCACCTGATTTGGTCAATTGTTATGTTGGAGGTGTGTTTCATTTATTTATGCATTAGCAAATGATGAATTTGTTTGTTTGTTCATAACAACTTATTATATATAGAAAATATTTTCTTACTATTATTACTATTATTTTTATTAAAGTATTTTTATGCGTATTTAAAAAATATATATTTATTTTATTTTTCTTCGCATTTAGGAAATGATCATCGAAAACTAATATTATTAGAAGAGATTAAACAAAATAATCAAACTATAACTTTTCTTCTGCAACAATTATCAGCACAACAGCAGCGTGGTAATAAAGAAACAAGTTTTGATGAGTTTGGGCTTCCTGTTTCATTAATGGAACATTTACAAAAACTAGAAACAGATTGCTTGACAATGGCCTCCGAGGATAGTTTGTAAGATATTTGTTATAATTGTTTAGTTCCCTTATTCAAGTTACTTTAAAGTTTAAAAACCCGCCCAAAAAAACCTGCCTAAAAAAAACCTAATAAAACCCGGGAAAACCTGAGTGTTATTGAGTTTTTTAAAGATATTTAATATGTTTATGAACTGTTATAACCAACTTTAACATTATTAAATATAATATTATTAACTAACAATTGTTTTAATGACATTTCTTGTAGTACTTGTTAATTTATTTATTTAATTTATAACACATACAATACAGCTAAGTACTAATATTTTAATTTATTTATGTAATATTTCAGTCTGAATAGTTCAGACCGTCATCAGATTATTATGCGTATTTAAAAAATATTTAAAAAGTATTTAAAATATTTAAAAAATATTTAAAATTTCCTATATATTAACTAACAAAATTATGAATTAATATTATTAACTAAATTATTATTAATTAATATTATTAACTATTATAACCAACAATAACAGCTATCAGACTAATATTTGAATCATTACTTGGAAATACATTATAACAATTTTTATCAGTTGAGATTTTTTAATCTTTTATGTTATTCACCTCCCTAGGTAAATTTAAATGAGTATTAGTGGCCAGAGAAAGCCACTACATTAAATTATTTTGTAACGAATAAACATTTAACTAGAAACCAACAAATTTAATAACTTTATTACTTTTATGTAACTTTAAATACTTTTACATTTTCAACTTTCATAATAACGTTAGTTTAATGAGTATCAAATCATCCCAGTCGTCACACAACGCGTTGCTAACATTGTTGGAAACAATGCTTGAAGTCTTAGGCCAACGTTAATAAAATGCACAAATGCGAATACAATATAAAACTAACAGTGTGCCAACGCAATGCCAACAACATTGAGTATACACGCCGACATAGGCCCGATGGGCGCCCGATCATATGCCAACGCGATTCCAACCTTTAAACATTATTACGCCAACATAGCCCCTACAAACCCATACCAACGGTGCGCCAATGTTAAGCCAACATTAAACGAAATGCGTTATGCCAACGTGTCGCCAACTGTTTTACTTGGTTCGGCCAACGTTGCGCCAACAATTTAAAACCATAAGTGGGCCAACGTCGCGCCAACAATATTAAGTGTATGTTACGCCAACGTAAGCACGATGGGCAGCCAACCATATGCCAGGACGACGCCAGCTTACGGCCTACCAAAATGCCTCGTTGGCCCAACAATCAGAAATTCGCCGGACCAACGTTGGGCCTACTAAGTTGTGCTGCTCGGGAGGAGTCACTATTTAATAACATTACAACACTACATGTTGCCTTTGCCTAAAGCCTGCGAGTGATACGCCAATTTGCCTTGCAGTTTATGCTCAATTACTGGAAATGGAAAATTTCTCATCGTTATATATAATTTTTATTATTATTATAAAATTATAATTTTAGTTAGATTTTTTATATTTTATAGGGAGCTGACTAGTCTGCCTAGTGCCTAGCGCCGGCTCTGTATATATATATATATATATATATATATATATATATATATATATATATATATATATATATATATATATATATATATATATATATATATATATATATATATATATACATATATATATATATAATATATATATATATATATATATATATATATATATATATATATATATATATATATATATATATATATATATATATATATATATATATATATATATATATATATATATATATATGTATATATATATATATATATATATATATATATATATATATATATATATATATATATATATATATATATATATATATATATATGTATATATATATATATATATATATATATATATATATATATATATATATGTATATATATATATATATATATATATATATATATATATATTTTTTTATTTTTATTTTTTTACTTTTTTATTTCAAATAGTCTTATCTTGATTTGAAATTGTTTTCACATCTGAGTATTCAATTTTTTTCTGAACAAAAATAGAATTTACCCAACACTACTTTCGTAGATGTATGAAACATTTATATTAGGTGTGATTTGTTTACATTTTCAAAACTATTTTTGAAAATGTAAAATGTTTACATTTTCAAAAACAGTTTTGAAAATGTAAACAAATCACGCTTTTAACAGTCAGATAAATCTAGCAGAGAATCACAGTTTTTTATATATTTAAACATCTTTATATTGTTTTTATCATTTTTGAATCAACAATTCAATTATCTTTATTATTATTTCATTCTATCAAAAAAATGTAAATAATAACTACTAAGTAAAACTTAGTAGTTATTATTTACAAATATTGTTGCTACTCAGAAAAAATTTTGGTATCTAAAGGCCGTCACCATCTTTAAAATTATAATATTTGAACTTGACACTGCGCTTGCGTATAATAACTTTCCACATCTAAACGACCGTGATATATATATATATATATATATATATATATATATATATATATATATATATATATATATATATATATATATATATATATATATATATATATATATATATATATATATATATATAGAGTTTTATTTTCAATTGTTTTACATTTTAAATAATATATGTATAATTTTTGTTTAATTTTTAAAGACTTCCGCAAACCCTTTGTAATCCAAGGCGATTTAATACTTTTAGCTTTGAGATTATAGCGAGTTTCCACTCATCGGGAACGGGATAGGAAAGAAAAAAATAATCACGTGAGCATGCGTAATAAAAGTTTTTATTTGTCCGAAAGAAAACTGCGCATGCTTACTTGAATATTTTTCCGTTCCCTTTCTATTTCTCGTAGGAAAACGGATGAATGGAAACTCACCTTTAAATTAACTTCAGGGAAATTAGTGTCGTAATTATAGTAGGAAGTTTTAAAAAAGGAGTAATAAACTAAGTTTGTATTATCATGTGTTAAAAATACTCCAATCAATTAGAGATAATTGTTCTTTTAAAGATTCAAGGTTTTTATTTGTATATATGCGCTTTTTGAAAATTCGTTTTTGATTAGGAAATAATTGAATATTTATAATTATAGACAAGAAAAAATGTCAGTGATCAGATAAGGATTCGTTAAAAACATCAGTTGTTAAAATATTATCATTTAAAGAGAAGCATTTGATTGAGTAATTCTTGTCGGTTCGCTAATCAAAGGAATCGTACTATTTTCATAAATGCCATTATAAAACCTTTTAATTTTGTTATTGAGCTGGTATTGAAAACAATCTAAATTCAAGTCACCCAATAAGTAGATAAATTTATTTCTATAGTTACTTTTTTTAATAAAATCATTACATAAAAACGAAATAAAACTTTTAATTTAACCTGATAGTGGGCGATAACAACAACTTAAAATTTTATTTTTTATTTTATTGATTAAAATTTCAACCGTTAAAACCTCTTTAACAGCATTAAAGGTGCTCATGTTATGCCGGGTAAATGCCTAAGATGCTCATGTCATGCCCGGTAAAGGCCGGGTCCTTCTGAAGAGATATCGTACTGCTAAAACATTTTACATATATCACTGAATCTATTTGAAAAGTATTTATATAGCTTCTCGTATATACCGTAATATTCCTGTCAGAATATAATTATAGAATATTCGTTTTTATTAAAACAAGGTAATATTTTTAGATAATTTTAAAAGTTGTATAAATGAGAAAAAGACTTTTCACTAAACTTCTTGTTTAACTTTTTATCTAGCGATTTTAGTGTGCGCATGCGCTGTGTACCCTAGTTTTAATTTTTCTGTTAAATGTTTATATTAAAACAAAACCGGACACAATTATACATATTTTTGATTAAAACGTGGTATTGAACTAGTATTTAAAACTTAAGACTAGATGCGCATTTTACTGATATCAACAGCGTTATATAATACGTGATAAACATTTATTTGTTTACCAGTGCCAGCTGGGTAGTAGATGTAAAATAGAGGTTTGACGCCACCCCAACCATCGTCTCTCTATGAGAACATCCAAAGAAGACGGCTTTAAAGCCACCCCTAAAATGTCTTTTTATTTTTTTGGGCATCTATAAATATATACAAATTTTTACAGACACCTATATTATATATATATATATATATATATATATATATATATATATATATATATATATATATATATATATATATATATATATATATATATATATATATATATATATATATATATATACATATATATATATATACATATATATATATATATATATATATATATATATATATATATATATATATATATAAAATAGGGCAAGTCAAAAAAAATTTTAGAGGCAGCATATAATAGGGGGTTCCTATATATGTGTACAGGATGTATACCCAATTTGAAATCTGTGCTAGCCTCCGTAAGGGTCGCACACAAAATCGAACTTTTTGGCATTTTAGAGAAAAAGAAGGTATAAAATAGGTGCTCCAGAAATCTATACGGTCTTATCACATAGCACCGCGGGAGAGCATTTAATCAGAAGTTCACGCCTCCTTTCATACTAATGTCGCTTGTTGGGCTAGAGTTGGCGTCGAACCTCGGACCTCTAGGTTCTGAGCCAGAACTCTAACCACTGTGCCGCGGCTGCTTTCAAAGGTGTTAAATAAGGGATATAAGCTTTAAAATGCTTTCTGTTCTTATATTACTTTTAAGCAAAGAAACAAATCTTTTAGAAATAAAAAAAAAATATAGAATGAAAATTTTTTATAGGCTATAAAAAATGTATATTTTCATAAATATCTTATTTCCATTGCGCTTTTTTTAATCAATTGTAGGCATTTTTTCCCTAGACTTCAACAGATTTGTTACAAATTTGTGACGTTTTTCTTAGCCATACCTATTTTCTGATGCCTTTGTGACTACTCCAACTGCTTTTTCTATATTCTGACTATAACAAGGATACTTTGGAATACTTAATTGACTGTCGTTGGCCTTCATATCTTCATTTGAATA